CTACATTTTTCTTTTAACAGTCAATGCTTATAAAGATGAAATTATTTTCACTATTTTATTTTACTGGTAAAGAAAGATTTAAGAAAAACTAACATACTAACAAGCATACATTACGACACTGTGATAATGTACAATATTGTGAACAGTAGAACATATGAGTTTGACAGCGTACAGTAAAAATGTCGAACAGAAAGTTTAATTTTAATTTATCCAAAAAAGTGACACTTTCTGAATCTACATTTAAATCTTAACCAGGAACTTTTCCATGTGTATAGCACGAAGCAAACAAAAAGGGTTTAAACAGAAAAACAATGCCAGACTTATCAAGATCCATGTTTAATTTAAAACTAGATATTACTTATTGACAATAATATTTTTAAAAAAACGTACTCACAAACTTTATAAGGATCTGTTTCCCGTAGAAAAATCTTGCTTCCCTTATTTCCATAGACAAACTATATAAGGATGCAGTAGAACCAAATGAAATATTACAAATCAACTCTTGACAGTGTACAGTGTAGGTTTTATTTATGTTTAGATTCTTAACATATCATGTTATTTTAACATATCATGTTATTTTAACATATCATGTTATTTTAACATATCATGTTATTTTAANAATTCGAAATTGAAATGGATAGTCTAGGGAACATACTGTATTAATGTACTCTACTGCATATAATTTGTGAACATGATTTGTACACTTTGAACTCCCTTTCAGGCTGAAAGGGACTGAAAAAATTCATACCGAGAGATTCTTTAAATTCCCCTCTAATATATATTCTATTCTCTATGACTTTTACCCACAGCAAGTAGTTATGTTTCGAACATCTTAAATTGAATAAAGACATATTATTAGGATTTCGTAGATTTTCTCTTTTATTTGTGGATTTTAATATATATTTTTTTCAATAAAACCACGATTGAAAATAATCAATTTTTAGATAGATAAACAAGGATATCTCATTCAACCTTCATCACATGTATGATGTAGGTAAAAAGGGTACCGGCGTGTTGTGAATCAGACATGTCACTTTAAATTATCCTCAGTTAACAAGAATAAACAAGAATAGATAAATTATTACAGAAAATAATGAAGACAACATGGCGGAACATATTAAATTTTGTCCTTGTCTGCTGGGGCAGTCTACTGGGTGGACTATCCTACACTATATTAAACCCTATTTATCCTTCGGAGGTGAATGTTTTTTTTTTATAATCAGAATTGGTTGGTTGGTTTTTTTTAATATTTTTTATAATCAGAATTGGTTGGTTGGTTTTTCAATATTTTTGGTTTTTCTTTGTTTACGTTTCTGCAGGCGTGTCATTTCTCACATTCTAAAATTGTAGTTTTTATTGAAACCTTCTAACCATATCGTTTTCAGCTTGTAGATCATTCACTTTTGATATATGATAATTAAATGAAACGATTCGAAGAACAAACTGATCACTTGCGACAACTTGAATTTTCTAATCACTATATATTTGAAATCTGAATTTTGCGTGCAAAGATGAATAGATTAGAAAATAAGCGTGTTTGCCCAGAAATCAGTTTCATTGATATATAAAGATCCCTAATTTGTTATTATTTACAGGTAAAAGGGAAAAAAATGCTTAATTAAAACTTTATTTTTAAATATACCTTTAATTATTTTTTTTATCTATTTAGGCTTTGTCTCGAAATGTAGATGTATCAAAAGCAAGCATCGTAATGGGTAGCGAATTTTTTTTATTTTGAAAAATGAGAAAAGTTTTTTTTTCAAAGCCTGTCAGAAAACAAATGGAGTATGAAGACTTGAAACTAATTTAAAATGTATCTGTTTTCAGAAAATAAAAAGACTGAGAGCGAAAAATAACAACATTTCTTAGATTTAATAACTGCTCCAGATTAAGTCTTCTTAAATCGAATTGCCTGAAAACAACGTAGCAAGTGAAATAAGTCAAGTCATCCTTTTCACTCCAAAATTAAGTAATCGTTATTTTCCACATTATATTTTGAAAAAGCATTGTAAATATTAGGATCCGGTTTCATAACTTCTCTGGCTGTAACACCATTTTGTTCCAAGTTGGTAAGTTTTTAAAATGATTCTAAAAAAAGTTCAATAAAATAGTTCATTCCATTAGCAAAGAGATAGTCGATCCATTTCGTTCGTCCATCGTTCGTTATTTTCCTTTCTGAACGACACCCTTTTTGGAAATATTTATTTTGTTCAATAAAACGATGCCAATCTCTATTTGTGGGTTTTCTGCTTAAGTGAATGGTGCATTTCTTGATTATAAGAAACAATGGAGAAATTAATCTTCCACATTTTCTATGAGATGAAGATTTCAAGTTGACGAATTTTTTATTCGAATTGGCACATTTTCAAAAAAAGTAAACTTTTTCCGGAAAATTATTTCCTATTTTGATGGTCCATAAATCTTCTCTGGGCTCATGTGAGGTCCCACACAAAATTTGGACCTTAATGGAAGTTCACTACCTGTCTACCCACTACACAGCCCAAGTGTATACTTAGGACAGTTTACTGCTCAAGGATATAAAGAGATTTTGGCCTAATCTAGTTATCATTCAGTACAAATACTATACTATAAAATCGTTGGTATAAACAGAAAAGCTATTATTAAACATATTATTAAACATATATATATGATATAAAATTATAAAAGCTTTCCTTAAGATAAATGTATACAGTGCAAAGACAACTTTTGCCGCAGCTTCATTTGTTGGTGGTTTTGGAAATATTCTTTTTGGGTAAGAAATTTTTTTTATGGAGAGTCACAACTTAAAAACATATTCACTGACATTTTTTTTATATCCAGTCCATGATTCCACTGCTGTAAACTGATGAAACTCTAGTTTTCTCATGCAGTTTGCATTGGATAAATTTCTTAAATACTGAATGGGTTGTATCTTTACGTACATGAACATTTTTATAATATGAAAAGTTTCAGGAAAAAATGACCAAAAAAAGATATTTTTCTTGGTTCGTTTTCTGCATACATCCTCTCCCAGGATTACAATTTGGCATAGTAAAAGAAAGGAATGTTTAAAAAAAATAAAGAATTGGTTGGAACCCCTTGAAGTGACTATGAGTTTAATATTAAGTGACCCTCCATGTAAAGATGCCAACGCCCGCTTTATAACGGTGCCCTTAGAAGCTTTGTCTGATCAAGTACAAACTAGATATCCATGTTTTATCTATTTAAACTGTTTATTTTCATTTAATGACTTTTGCGCATTACTTGCTTGTAGGAAATAATTGAGAAATTCACAGAAATAAACACTTTTCAAGTTAAAAAAAATAACATTATCTTCATTATATAACATATAACATTTTAGATAAGATTAAGGTTTCAAGGGTACCTTTGTAAATCAGATATTGATTCGATTTTACTGAATTCCAAAACCTAAAAGTTTTGGCATTATGAAAATTTTTAAATTTCTTAATAAACATTTGGATCTTAATGTAGGGATTGTAAAAAAAATCATAATAATAATAATATTTTATAATATAATAATATTTTAATAAAAATCATTTAATTATAAAAGATTATAATCTATATTTCTTTATAAATTAAAGGGACTGTAAGCGAAATTTCAAGTGACCCTCCGTGCAAAGGTGGCAATGTCCGAATCACAACGGTACCCTTAAAAGCGTTGTCTGATCAAGAATGAATTAAATATGAATTTTTTTAATTTTGAAAACTCATCATATGTTCATTTGTGACAAGGTACTAATGCAAGGAAAGTTATTTCAGAGGTGTGCGCATTTTTTGTACTGCATCGTACTGTCTTTGGGCGGAAAAGTAAACACAAGACGGGTGTCACAGCCTGACATGGAATCAATTTTTACAAAAATAATCTATGAAATATTCTGGTCATAGGAAACTATTATGTGAATTTTCAAAATTTTCAAAATTAAATGCTTTCACCCTCCTCGGATACTAGACGAACACTGATGCATCTATTCTTGTTTACAAATTCCGCCCAGAGAGAACTGGTTTCAATATGTATGCAGAGTAAACGCAACTGCAATTAACTTTCCCTGCATTAGCACCTTGATTTGTGATTTCTCTTCAAATTTAACTTGGGCGTTTTTACAGCAGGTAGACCTATCGTAATAATCAACAAAATAACTTTTCAATCTATAAAAAAGGCGATATTATCGACAATTTATTGATCACATACAGGTTTCCAGGGTACCGTTAATGTAAATTGTGCATAGTCAACGTTGCACAGATGTTCACTAAAAATTTTGTGTACAGTCTTTTTAACAAAAATGATTTTTTATTTCAGGTGTCTTGTCTATATTAAGCATCCTCTTCTATACTTTTGGTTTTCTTTATTATTCCGAACAATTAGTTCTGTGGGGGAAGCAATTGTGGTTAGTTCAGCGTATCCTTTAGGTATAAAACCATACTTACAGATTTTTAAGATATTTAAAAAATGTCAATGAAAAATAATAGTGTTGACATCGCCCTAAGGGAGGGTTAGGGGCTTACATCTCTTCCCAGTAAACCCCTATTAAAACTGAAAATACCTTTTTACACCTCCCACCTGACCCCCCCTCCCCTATCAAGTCTGCATACGTTCTTTGCATATGCATTGCATATACATTATGTATGTGTAAAAATCAACAGATTTACGAGCTATTACATTTTTAAAAATAATAATAAAGGAATATATAGTCTTTGCCACAAACTCAGATTTTTTAATCCCAATATCTTTGCAGCAAGACAATGTCGTAAACCTTAACCCTATTCCTGCTGGGGGGGGGGGTCAATTTGACCCCCCTGTATTTTTTTACATAACTCAAAAAGTATTGGTCTGAGGCTGTTAAAATTTTCTGACTTTTCCTATATACCCAAAGTCCTCCCTTTAGGCCTAAAACCGGGCTGTAATACTAACTGCCTGAGTCCTCAGACAAACTTCCTGTAACAAACTAAATCTTTGTTTTGACCCACTTCCACTTGTCAGATTTTGATAAAATTGTTCAATTCTCTCAACTTCCGTTGCTTCAACTTTGCAGCATAAATCCACAAAAAAAACCTTTAAAAAGAACAAAATGGAAAATAATAAAATTTCAACTTAAATTAAACTTAATTTAACGAATACCAATTTAAATCGGACAGTGCCACTTTTTAAATGAAGGGTCACTTATAACTTTGTTTACAGTCCCTTTAAATAAATGATTAAACTGCTTTTTTGCACAGTCCCTTTAAATAAATTAAATAAATAAAAAAAAAATAAACTGCTTGTTGTTCAGTCGACTTTAGATGCTCTTTATGGAATTGGAATGGTGGCTGGCCCGTCCCTTGGTGGTCTTTTATATACATATACAGGCCTAGGCGCAACTTAGGGTTTTTAGGGGGGGGCGGGCTGCAAGATGTCCCACGAAACACAATCTTTAACAGTTAAGACCTTTTGAAAATCCCCTAACTAGTGTTATCATGTAAATTTGAGTTATAATTCCCTAGCTTGGAAATCCAGCTTTGCCTGTAAACTCTATTAAAGTAAAATTAGAATTGCTAATCCAAGCTTATAACATAAACGTGGTTCTTCTTCCCCAATCAAAATTTGAGGCAGATCGGTTAAGAAGTTTAAGATTTATGATTGGACATACATACACCTTTCCAGAGATTACTGCTTTTATTTAACAATATCATATTACAGATAAATTAAACATTTAGTTACTTGTGTAAAAATAGGGTTACAAATGAATTACATTGTAAAAGATCAATTTTTTGTTAAAAGGGAAATAAAAATCATGGGGGGGGGATTAGGAGCTGGTGGAAGTCAAACAGGCCCCCCCCCCACCCCCTTTAGATGTGCCCTTGTACCAAGGGTTTTCTTTGCCTTTCTGTTCCCTGGGTTTATCTATGGTAATATCAGGAACCCGATTTAATGAATAGCAAGACATGGTAAAATTTGTTGCATAAAACGTGGTGGGTCCACTTTTAACTGGGCAGTCTAGATTGGTCGTTATATGCGGGGTCCACTGTAAACTGGGCAGTCTAGATTGGTCGGTACGTGCTGGGTCCACTTTAAACTGGGTGGTCTAGATTGGTCGGTACGTGCTGGGTCCACTTTAAACTGGGCAGTCTAGATTGGTCAGCACCTGCGGGGTCCACTTTAAACTGGGCAGTCTAGATTGGTCAGCACCTGCGGGGTCCACTTTAAACTGGGCAGCCTAGATTGGTCAGTAAGTGCGCTGGGTCCACTTTAAACTGGGCAGTCTAGATTGGTCAGTATTTGCACTGGGTCCACTTTAAACTAGGCAGTCTAGACTGGTCGGTACGTGCTACATTGGGTCTCCTTTAAACTGGACAGTCAGATTGGTCGGTACGTGATGGGTCCACTTTAAACTGGGCAGTCTAGATTGGTAGGTACATGCTGGGTCCACTTTAAACTGGGCAGTCTAGATTGGTCGGTACGTGCGCTGGGTCCACTTTAAACTGAGCAGTCAAGACTGGTCAGTACATGCGCTGGGTCCATTTTAAACTGGGCAGTCTAGATTGGTCAGTACATGTGCTGGGTCCATTTTAAACTGGGCAGTCTAGATTGGTCGGTACGTTCTGGGTCCACTTTAAACTGAGCAGTCTAGACTGGTCGGAACGAGTACAACTATACCAATTTTCTGTTAAGGGGAATGGACTTGTCTATTCTAAACAGCTCTAATTAAAGAATAATATTAGAAATAAATATGAACATACCACACTGGACTAGTACCGAGATGGACTAGTCACTAGTCCAGGCGTCTCTTATAAATGTGCAGTGGGGAGTTGGCTTTGGTCACTGGCCTAGTCCTTGAGATGTTGATTCACATTAGACAAGTGACTTGAAGGTGACTTGGCCTTGATTTCCACGGGAATGATGGTTGATCTTTTCTTTTCTATTAACTAGACCGGTAAATCCTTGTACCGGTTCATATCATGCAAGTTTAGAGCCATGTTCAGCCTGAAACAATGCATAAAGAGAAACGGTTGAACTATGTCTGTGCGGTTCAGCTACTTCTCGTTATTCCTAAAATCTGGTCCCAGGATTACTGGTTGCTGTATTCTGCTCCTGTAAGAAACAAAATTCAGAAAATACTTGGTAAATAATTTAATTTCTTTTTTCTTTATTCATAAAACACTTCCCCCCCCCCCCCCCCAGCTACCACTCCCTCAAAGAGTTAACTAAGAAATCAAACTGTCTATATGTAATATTCATCTCCCAATCCCACAATTTATCTATGAGTCCAATTATATTAAAACTTCAACTTCGTTGAGAGGTTTTTCTTTTTAATTAAAATATATCAGTTTTGCAATGGAAAGATGTTAAGCCAGAGAAATTGTAATTTATACTGCATTTTGGGTCTCATCAAACAGAAATAAATACAGTGCAAGGCCCTTCATTTTCGTGCATTTCAGTTCCGAATGTAGCTGGAAAGATATCCTGGTATGTTCTGGAATACCTGATTATATACTGGCCCTTCTAACTATTGGAAATGTAAACAATTGGTTTTCTGCTTCCTTGGAACAACATCTGTATACGGCGGTATAGGATAATAAATTTACTTTATATTTAAAAGAAGTGGGATGTCCAATTTACAACTGTACTATTTAACACCTCTTCCTAAGTAACAACGAGAAGGTATACTGTCATTCTTTTTTCACTTACATGGAGCAAACGTTAAACCATTTTTCTAAGCACCTTCTGTGGCGTTTCCACTATAGTTTCAGCAGAAGAAAATATTTCCATTTACTGATAGCGCTGATTGAAGGATTCACATCTCTAATTGGATAATGAGATAGATAGAAAGATAGACGTTACCACCAAACTATTTCTATTGGTTCAGAATAGACAACAAACACATGACTGAACCCTGATTGGATCAGGTGCTAATGGACTCGGCATACAGGAGTGTTTCCCTATGGCGGCATTTCCCAATGGCGTCTTTACCATCTTTTGAAGGAATGGTTATATCAAGTGATTTTAAGTAACCTTCTTTTAAAAAAGTGGAGCATGTCTGATTCACATTTATCTGATCTCTCTAATCAAATATGTGGAAGATATTGTGGTTTTTTACTTTAAAAGGGTTGTTTCTCACATTGTCTTCCATTATACGTTTATAAAGAGAGAGATCCGCAAATTAATTATATCAAAACCACAATTAAAGAGATATCATGGATATTTAATGCATTATTGACCAGACAAAGCTGTTAAAGGTACCGCAGTGAATCGGATTTGAAACTCTATGTCAAGAGGGTAAATTGAAATTACGTCTGCTGTCCTTTTAAATAGATGTATTATTTGAAAGTGAATTCATATTGCAAAACTCTTCGAATTTCTAGGTTTAGGAGCGTGAGCTCCAAATTTATGGCTTAATCTTGGCCGCAGAATTTTTTCAGAGGTGAAATGCTATCATTGGTGGATTTATTTCGTAAGGACTCCCAGATTTAAGGTTTTTTTTTAATCTTCCCACTTGATCTCAAGTTCAGCTACTGAATTCCTGGACTGATATTCAATACAAAAATTCCCAGCTCTGATTTTTTTATTTTATTCAAGCGGGAAATCAAATAAATATTTAAGCAATCTAACGATTAGCAAGGTCAAGCATTGATCTCGATATCCACTTTATACAAGAGTTTCCAGCTCAACTCTGATTTTTGTTTAGTTTGGTTTGGTTCCTGCCGAATCTGGAGGTATAATGATGATATTTGCTCTGTTATATTCTCTAACCAGCCCTGTGGTGGGTGTACTGCTGGATTACGGGTTCTCAACTAGTAAACTTCTTATCCTTGGAGGAGTTTCCTCTTCATTGGCTTGCTTCCTGCTGGGTAGGGGTTGTTGATTAGAGTAAATATAGATATAGATATAGATTTATATGTACTTGCGTAAAGGTAGACTTGTATAGATTTAAAAACATTTCACACACTAGATGGCGCTATCATGAAGTACATATATGTATGTGTGGGGGGGGGGGGTGAACACTATTTATTTACTCAAATCTTTTTGAAATAAGTATTTTAACACAAATACTGTTAAAATGGCTTAACTGAATGTGGTTATTAAGCATGGTAAAAAGCACTTTAATGTTGTTGTCGGATAGCTGCCAGATTCTCAATAATGAGATAGACAACGGGATAACCCTCATAATCAAAACCGATAATGCAGAGAAACTCTTTATTTCCTAAAAAATGATATGGATAATAACATATAAATTATTACAATGATTTATGAATTTTTATAATAAAAGATTCTTACGATCTAATCAAGGATCTGGAGGGTTAAATCGTCGAAGAGTCCTATGACTTTTTTTTATTTAAACTTCTGAAAAGAATGACAATTTATTATTAACGAAAGTCACTAATTCTTTATATTAAAATATTCTTTGCTTAACTTTTGAAATGGGTTCACAATAAATAAAAGTGTTTAGACTCCGTTTATTATTTATATCATTAATATTGCAAACAAAGATTGTTTAATCTTACGGAATTCATAGTATGAAATATTATAAAGTTGCAAAGATATAAGGACTTTTTTACTAAAAAAATATGGAATTATTACATTAGAATAATATCAGTTTTATGTTATATAATTTGTTTAAAACATGATAAAAGATGTAAATTGTAGAGGCGTAATTTCATGGGACTCTCCATTAATAGAGTGGCATGTCAGATTCACAACAGTGCTCACAAACCTTTTTCTGATGTGTATTAGAAATCCATATTAAAAACAGTTATTTTTTCATTTGTGGATTCTCTTCAAAAATGATTTTTTTCAAAACAATGGAGAAATTATTAGAATTAAACAAATTATATGGCAGAAAAACCTTTCATATTATTCATCAGATTAAGGTATATCATGGGTACCGGTTGTGAATCGCATGCATGCCCTTTTCTCTAAATGGAGGGTCACTTGTAAGGACAATGGCAATCCCATTGAAACCGAAAACAATTCGGATTCAAATTCATTTATTAAAACTAAAGATGGACCTGTTCTTCAGGACCAATTCCTGGATTTGAATTGCTACTTGAAACAGTGCCAGTCTGCGTTGTATCCTTGGTCCTAATAGGAGCAGGAGTAGCAAGTGCATCTCTCTGTGGATATTTAGGAATGCTGGATTGTGCACGGAGAATCGGAAGCTCAGAGGATATCTTGGTTAGTATAGTGGGGCCCATAAAGATGTGGAACAAGAAGACGACATTATAACAATCTTGTGTGTATTTTTGTTTTAAAAAAAAACAGTTTTACCAATAGCTTTAAAATCAACTTGGTTCTGTTTACAATGTCCAGTTGCTCTGTATCATGTTACTTGGACTATTTTAAATTAAAACTTCAGTCGTCTACCTATTCGACAGTTTTATGATTCCTGCATTGTTTACTGTAAAAAGTCTACTTTTGATTTGTTTCCATCAAATATTAATGTTTTCCCACTTCTTTTTTCTCTCGATCTATATTGAAATAATACAATTCTATGTCTTAAGAATCCCTTTTTTTAGTTATTTCTAACAGTAGTACTATTTGACTAAGTCTTATTTTAACGAGGTTAAAATGCTTAGTTTCAAGTAACCCTTTATGTAAAGATGACATTGCCGGATTCACAATGGTATGGTCCTTGAAAGCTTTTCCTAATAATTATGAATTAGATATGAATGTAAATATAATTTTGAAAACTGTTTAGTTCCAAATGTGATTTCTCACATTTAGTGACTCACTAACTCATGTGTTTTGAGACACTCTGTATGAAACTGTTGCAATATAAACATAGCTAAAATATATCTTAGATAAATTTTAGTATTCTTATTTAGAATAAGATAACCTGTATTTGGTTAATGACCCTATACCTGGGAGGATTCTTATCAGTTATATTCGGAGGAATATCAGCTGACGTTTACGGATTTTCTTGCAGCTCAACCATTCAAGGAAAGAACTGGATTAAACATAATTTGTTAAAACATTTTTAGGTTAAAAATTGAATGAATCAGAAATTAATATAATCATGTAAAACTTAATTTGCTAGATAAGCAAAACGTCATATTTTAATTTTTCAATAAAATCTTAAATCTAGTTTTATTAAAGGTTGCATTACAGTAATAGTTGTAAGTATTTTAGAGATATAATTAGGACTGGGCGTCGTTGTAAGTATTTTAAGGATATAATTAGGACTGTGCGTCGTTGTAAGTATTTTAAAGATATTATTAGGACTGGGCGTCGTTGTAAGTATTTTAGAGATATAATTAGGACTGGGCGTCGTTGCAAGGGAACGATCGTTCTTTTACGTGAACGAACGGAACGGAAAAATCTTTAAAAATTAGGAACACGCCCAACCCTAGATATAATGGAATTGTTAAAATATTTGTAAAATGAAAGTTTCAATTTTTGACGAGAGGGTTTAAAATGGTTCAAGTTCTCCTTCATTGATTGAGTGGTATTTCCGAGTCACTATTACAACGATACACGGCTTTTAACCTCTGATTTAGAATTACTAGGGTATTACTATTTTTATCTGAAAATTAACTGCGGAACTATGTGACGTCTTTCCACGCCAGAGTCGGTTATATTTTTTTACTGTTACAAGCGTTAAAATAAGTGAAAGATGAAAACAAGGTCAGTTCTCTATACTTTTGGTTAATACTTATTTGCAGAAAGTAAAAACTAAAAAAGGACTTCACTCAATTTCTTGGCAGAAAAATAAGAAATTCTCCATCATCCCAGACAAGTTGGTCAGACAAAAGACATGCCACTCTAGTCTTAATATTACTAAGATTTAAGCCGGGGATCAATTGAAACCTGTTTTTGGGGTATTGGAGACGTGGCTTAAATTCATTAAATTCGGACACTGGATATTTTATTCTCGTCTAAATGCGAACTTTGTAATATATTTAATATATCAACTGGACACTCAAAATAAAATGATCAAATAAGAGACTTGAGAAGAGTGAATGAAATTGAATCTATATGAGTTTCTGTAAAAAATCGGGGATTTAAAATCATCAAATGAAAGTTCAATTGAAATTACGCGTAAAGTCCTTTTAAAGGGACTGTAAAGGAAATATGAAAGGGGGTATAGGCTGAAACCTAAGAATCTCAGGAGTTGATTGAGACATATAAGAGTTCTTTCTGATGTTCCTGTCTCGCGAAATTGATATAAAACTGTATAAAATTTATACCAAAACGTATAAATGTAAGATGTTGTATAAGATTCGTATGAGACCTGAAAGTGTAAAGTGAAGTAATCTTTCAAGGTTTTGCATGTTGAATTCGTAGTTTGAAATATCAAAGGTTTTCATTCTACAGCAGTTCTTTTATGATTGTTGGTCTAATCGATAATACTAAATATCTATTCGTAAAGAAACAGCAATATTTAAAAATTTGTGGTCTAATTTTTCATGTTAAAGGGAGTGACCGGCTAGACATAAGTCTATTAAAAATCAAAAAGTATTAAATTCAAATAATAATAGGAGCAAACTAAAGATTCTCAGGCTCCTCTGGGATATTGTTGTTTTCAGATTGGTTGCGTATTTGTTAAATATGACCTGTTTAAAACTAAAATTCTTATACAAAATCTTACATATACATATACGTTTTGGTATAACTTTGAAACAGTTTTATATCAATTTCTCGAGACAGGAACATCAGATTATATGTATCGTCTAACGCCTGAGATTCTCGGGTTTCATCCTATACCCCCTTTCATTTTTCCTTTACAGTCCCTTTAAACCCTTTTCTGGTCAATGTGGAAGATATTTTAGTTTTACTTTTATGTTTTCATGTGATTAAAATGTGAAATTCACTTAGTGAGAAACCGCGCTTCAAATTAATCAGTTTTCAAAATTATAAACATTGATATCTTAGTCATTTTTAATCAAACAAAGATTTTAAGGTTACCGTTGTGAATCAGTCATTGACATCTTTGCATGGAGGCTCACTTGAAATTACGCTTACAGTCCCTTTAAGGCTCGGTATTCACAAGTCTATAATGACAACAACATAATCTTTAACAAGATATTGTAGCAGCAAATGAAAGTAAAGAATGCTAGAGAATTATGAGGAAAATTCGAGAACAGGAAAACCGGAATCCAGGCGTTGCAGTCTCCTTGCTCAAGCACGAGAACATGTACTCCTGGATATTAATATATGTTTATATATAGAATAAACCATATATTTATACTAAATATATTATAAGTAATTTATTTAATGTTGTTTCTCCTGAACTATATTGGGATTTGGATTAATTCCCCTGGTAGGATTGGCCAGACTAAATAATAAACCATATTCACCTAACAACATTATTATAGACATTTTTCTTTCACAATATTTACGAAATAATAGCTTTATACAAACATTGCCAAATGGGTCGCTTTTGTTAGGATAAATTTTCGGGTGTCCCAATAAACATGGAATCTAATAGACGACAGAAAATTAATTCGTCATTTATTCCAGATATCCAATAAATGGTCTGGGGTGTATATGTATTTCAATAATAAAGTTGATTCTGATTTTAAATATTTAGACAATTTTGATTTTCTGAAAGGTTTTGGAAGCATAATCTCAAGTGGCCCGCCAAATATATCGTGAAAAAATAAAATAGACCACTTACTGGTTCAGTTGCAAGGAAGGATGTAAAAATGGCAAAAAAAAAGGCATGAAAATGAAAAAAAGTTAAGAGCAATGATGAACGGGGAAAATTACAAATTCAACAAAGGAAAAAGGAAAATTAGCAACCCTATATTTGTGCTTTGATGTTGAATATATATTCATTATGTTTTATAAGTCTAATTCATGAAAATTTTTCAATGTTACGTTGTCAAAAAAGTGATACTATAATGCATAATCATCATATCTGAAAGAAATAGAAAATCATAGATCGTTTTAATCGTTCAAATCATCAGCTAGTTGCCTGCCGAAAAACTTTAAAGATACAGACTTTTTACTAAAAATTATTAATTCTTCGCCCCCTTCCTTCTTCTGGCAAGTCTTTCTTCATTGTACATTTCAAAATGATAACAATTCAAATTTCGATGATAGATATCTTTGAAGCATAAGAAGTGGAAAAACCGAACCTTATCTTCAGATATTCTATGTTGGGTACCTTATCAGGGTGGCAAGTAACATGTTCTTGGTTCAGAATGGACTTTAACACCCGCTTCATGTTTTGTTTAAACACGAATTTCTGTTTGTCGCTGTGCGTCCTCTCTTTCCTGTCTGCAACATCAAAGTGTTCTTGTATCTCCTTGTTCCTGCAGTTAACTCCCATGGTTAATGCACAGTGAACGCATGTGTGATCCTTTTCCAAACTTCCTCCGTAGCATGCTGTGTGTGAGAAGTTGCCACATGTCCTGCATCTCATTATCTCTGGGTCCCATGTGTTATATAAACAGACGCAGGAAATCCGTCCTACTTTGTTTGTTTTAGGAAAATTGTCGTCTGAATCTTTCTCAGATGATGAATGTTCTGCTATCACCTTTGATTTTACGTTTATGTTCGTCGTCTCTTCATCATCACTTTCGATTAAACTGGTATTCATCACTTTTGTCTTCCTTGAACCCTCATTTTTGACCTCCGCTTTAGAGCGGTTTCTCTTCTCCTTTGAATCATTAAGTTCAACTGCATTTCTTTTGTTCTTCTCGTGATTGTTTTCTCTTCTCACGTTAGAGATTTTATCCACAACTGTTATCTCTTGAGTTGTAGTATTCTGTTTTTCTTTCGATCTTAGGCTCATCCTGCATATTAAATGTTTTAATCACTTAATTATTAATTTAACAATTAACTTATCCTGTTAATAATAACTAAAAGCTTTTCTTTATTACATCTAAATTTACCAGTTTTTATAAAGAACCCAAAAATCCAAATTATTCAGTCAAATCCCGAAATATTAGAAAATTCCTTACAAAACATTTATGTAAATAATGAGAATAATGAAGTTTGACATCCTTTTCCCACCTTGGAAATTAGTAAACATTAAACAACATTTATTTAAAAATATGAATAATTATTAAGATTAGTAAAAAATCCCATATCAACTTATTTTACCATTTTTAAACTAAATAATCAAAAATAACTTGATCAATTATGTTATTGCTGTACTAAAACAATTAAATATGACATTTCTCATCCCGCCGTAACGTTTATCAAATAATATAAAATTAATCAAAATAAATAACAATTAATAACAATTAATAAGTTTCTCATCGACCGTTGCTATTTCTCCCTTAATAATGGTAAATCGTGAGAATAAAGTGTTAACCTGTAATCATTTGTATTAAATACGAATAGGAACTGACAATCCATCAATCCAGCAAATTATCTATGTCATAAACCATTTTCTCTAAAAACTAAGTAAACTTGTAGTTTTTGTTATTTAGCGTTTATTTTAATCTTTTTTTGTTTTGATTTAGTCAATCACGTTTTCCACTTTTTCATTGTTGTATCTTTTAATACAATATTCAAAATTGCCCATGCTTCTGTTTTTAAGCTCCACTTTACTTTTTTTTAAAAAACCCTATTCTACCTTTCACTTGTAGGATTTTTACTGCTTTGGTAGGCTTTATCCCAGGATTTTCCTTTTTCCTCCATCTTTGGGGTGTAACTACTTGGTAATTCCTGCTTGGTGTTCGTTCTTTCTGATCTCCTCCTGTCTGATCTCCTGGTTTCCTCCCAATCTCTTCTTTCTGCATATCTATTAAAATTATTTCTATTAAACCTTTTAAAAATTTTAATTTTTATGCCCCATTTTGTTGTTTTATCGACGTCACTTTAATATTTTTAAATCATATTGTTAATTACAATTCCAGATATTGTTTCAAAAATTTAAATTTATTGTTCATAAATTCTTTGTTTTGTGCCTTGAGATTACGACTTTTTACGAAAAAATTTTTAAATTGGCACATTTATTCCCCCTGTTATATGTTTTCCTTTTACATCATTTTCTCTATAATTTCTAAAATCACTGTTGATATTCACCTATTTTCTGATCTATTATTTGTTGCTCCTTTCAAATCGTTTTAAACGTTTTAAGAACATTTCCATGTTGATCTCGTGTTATCTCTGGGTGTAGGAACGGACAATTACTCCCATTTTTACAATATCCTTGTATGAA